AAAGTGAGAATAAACTAATAATCTAGTAACTAACGAGATGGCTTACCGAACCTGAAGGTTCATCACCGAATTAACCAAAGCCCTCCACCGGACTGTCCTGGGCCAACAAAATCCAGTTTCCTTCAACTCCTATCCCCCATAGATCCCGCCTGACATTATCCTCCCATCTAGGTCTAAGTCTCCCCAGTGGTCTCTTCCCCCTGGGCTTCCTGACCAATACCCGGTGCACACCTCTTGTCCCATCCATGTACACCACATGCCCCGCCCATCTCATTCTTCTCGACTTAATCACCCTGACACATCACTTAAAATTTCTATTAGGTCTGAATAACATCCTGTCTGTATGCAAAAGGACCTAGACTGGGCACAAGGGGGGAAAAACATATCTCATAATTCAGCATTCATTTTTGATATTATTATAATATCCCAGTGGTTCCATCAAACATGATCACAATTTACATATACAAAATCAGATATTACTACTTCTACTTCATACAAATATTTACTGCGTTACATACTCAATACCAGAAAGTCTTAGCTGGTACCCTGTCCTCTTGGATACCCATGCATTCCATAATATCCATTTCAAAGGTCTTCAAGGCAGGTTCAAAAGTAATTTCTGTCGCTTCTGATGCCTTCGTGTCCCTCTCTGACTCTGGAACATGAACACAAAAATTAACCACATACAAGAAACCGCATCAGCGTCCCAATAGAAAACTGATTCATTTTTGACTCAGGGAAAATAAAACATTAAATACATGAGACTTGACCCTATTCCATTGAAAGACTTCTTATAACCTTGTCTTCACCATCCCAGATATACTGCTCCTTGTCAATTTAAGTTTTATAATGCAATCATAAGGAAACAAACAGGTTCAGCACAAGCTTCTTTGTTTAAAATAAACCAATTCCGTTGTAATACATTAATATTTTAGATTTTACTTAATTCCTTTTTATCCTGTTCTTCTTCCTCTAGTTTTGTTGAAAACTTTTCTGGGACACAAAATACTTCAAGTATGAATAGTGCAGAAATCTATGCATTAGTATGGTTAATATTAATTTCAGAGGAATACTTACCAGATTAATCCTCCTATCACAGCATAATATTTAAATTTTCCTATTCAAGATCCACCATATTTCATAAATACTTACGAGGCGCGTCCACAAAGTAAGTTTCCCACTCGTCCCACAGCTAGCAAACCTTATATTGCGCGAAGCGATTGTGCGTGCGTGATAGAGCAATGACGTAGCATGGCGCATGCACTAACGGTATTTCCCGCGTTCTCATAGTAGCATCGTTGCAGCTGTTGAAGATGGAGGTTCTTATTCCAGCTCCCGCCGACTGTGAAGTGCGGTCAGTGATAAAGTTTTTGAATGCACAGAGCATAGCGCCGATTCCTGCAGGAGTTCAGCTGGGAGGTGTTTGATCATTCACCCTACAGCCCGGACCTCGTTCCCAGTGATTTCCATCTTTTCCTACACCTCACGAAATTCCTGTCCGGTCAGCGTCAGCGTTTTGAGAATGACAGAGAGGCGGAGATGGTTGTCACACAGTGGTTCCAATCCCCGGCGGCAGACTTCTACGACACAGGTATTCCAAAGTTGGTCCCACGGTATGACAAATGTCTCAATTCCGGTGGCGAATATGTTGAAAAATAGCTGGACACTTGCTGTATCTGTTGCAATAAATATTTCCATGAAATTGTGTTTTGTTTCTGTAAACGGCCCCAGGGAAACTTACTTTGTGGACGAGCCTCATATATTTAATTTGATCACAGTAAAAAATTGCACATTTTGAGGAGTTTTAATGTTTAGGTTATGTTAGGTTACATTATGTTAGATTAGGTTGTGTTCAGTTACATTAGATGACAAAAAGTTATGTTACATTAGATCAGGTCAACGTAGGTTCAGTTAGGTTAGGTTACATGAAGTTAGGTTATATTGCATTACATTAGGGCATGTCAGGTCAGGCTTCATTAGGTTAGTTATGTAAGGTTAAGAAAAATTATGTTAGGTTACAATAGGTAAGGATATGTCAGGTTAGGTTAGGTTAGGTTAGGTTGCTTTTGGTTACACCAGCTGACATTAGGTCACATCACGTCAAGTCTTGTTAGGTCAGATTCAGTTGGGTTAGGTTAGCTTTGGTCAGGTTCGGTTAGCTTTGACCATATTTGGTTAGAATTGTTCAGGTTTAGTCAGAACTGGACAGGTTAAGTTAGGTTCAATCAGGTTTGGTTAGGTTGCATCAGGTTAGGTTATATTAGGTGATGTTACATTGTTATTTTAGGTTAGGGTAGGATACGTTAGGTTAGCTTAGCTTAGCTTGGGCCAGGATGAGATAGGATGGGTTAGATTAGGTTAGGTTAGGTTAGAGAGCTGACCAGTGTTTACCTTTGTATGTAGCTTTTGTTTTATAATCATATGTTTCTTCTGCACCTTTTGGGATTGGGACTATGCGACCAGTTCTAACAGATACACGGACCTTCTGTCCTGCTTCAGTGTACCTCCATTCAATTGCTGAAGATTTTCTATAAACAAAATGGATGGTCCAAGACTCATTACTTAAATTCCATCAATATTATTATGTAAGAAATACAAGTGATTCAACCAAAAAAGAAACATTTTATGCAATGAATGGTCTCATTACTGAAAGTACTGAAAGATATGTACTGTCAGTGATGTAATCATTCATCTTAATAATGTTGTTTACTTTCTACCAATTATAAGATAACCATCTTTCTTCAGATGCTAAATTAGGGGAAAAACATTCTGCACTAATTTGAACAAATAATTTAAATTTGTTTACATTACATTATTACCAGAAGAGAAGTTTAAAACCACTATATTCTGCAGATTGCATCACAACTAAAGAAACATTTCATTTCATACAAGTCGCAGGCGAAAAATGTTCTAAGAACATAACAACGTAAGAAAGAAGTTTTCATTACGCACATCTACTCCATGGCTTCTAAGTTGTCTCCTTCCGTAAGGTTTAACAGGCTAAAAATTTTGTTCACATTTCTCATCTACTAAATATGTGCTACAAGTACTGCCCATCCTCCTTGATTTAACATCACTTATAACATTTGGTGAAGAGTACAAATTATGAACACCTCATTATGATATTCTCGTATCACTTCCTCTTTCTTCTTCTTTTTCCGGTTTACAATGTTTATACATTTTCCGGTACCCTTTACGGGTCCCAACATTTTCGTTGCTTTGATCTATGGACATTCGGTAGGACTCCTTGGACGAGGGATCGGCCCATCGCAAGGCCTCTACCTGTACACAGGACAGCATGACACAGAAAAACGCGGACAAACATCCATGGCTTGAGTGGGATTCGAACCCACGGTCCCTGCGACCAAGCGGCACAAGACCCACGCCTCAGACCGCGTGGCCACTGTGGACCCAACTTCCTCTTTCTATGGTCCAAATATTCTCCTTAGCACCCTGTTCTAAAACATTTTCAATCTACGTTCAACAACTAGCAAGCTGAAATACAGAGGCAATAATTAAAAGTAAAGTATTCATTATACCTTCCTATTCATAATATACTTACAGATCTGAAGGATCCACTAACGCCACCTCATTAGTGACCAACAACGGTTGTTCCGATTTCAGATAGACCCCAGGGAAGTCCTTACTTTTCCCATACACTTTGAGCTCACAGTTCAGACCTTCGACAATAACCCAGTTACGTTCCTGGATAACCTGGCTGATAATACCTTGTTTTCCCTTGTCTTGTCCAACCAATACCTCCACCTAGAACATACAAGAGAGAAAAGGCCTACTCCAATGTTGTTCACATGCTTTAATTTATTGCTGAAGCAAATCTATTTTAACTAATATAAAACCATGTGGACTGAAAAACAAAGCTGTCTTCCTCAAGGTGTACTTATAAAAGATATAAACAGACAGACAGATCACGTAAGACATATTAATTAGATGGCTGTATACAAATACAAATTTTTCTTACCCTGTCTCCTTTGAAATAGCTCCATTCACGGATTGGCTCAACAAACACTTTCTTGCGAATTGTTCCTCGCTGGTTCTCCGCCTGAAACTCTGCTGTCCAAGGTCGATGAACACCAAAATAGTACTTCTTACGTTTTATCTCTCGCCGCAGATACTGAGGGGCTGCTGGTGTGCGCCAATATACCTGGAAATCAAAAAAGATAAATTTACCCACCTATATAACAAACAGAAAATGATTTTCAAACACAACTGGATCTGTTAGTAATTAAAATTAACAGAATTTTATATGGTCCTCCTCTCATGCCTGATCCTTTGAAATCCATTGCTCAATGGTGCTTGATATGATACATCACATAGATACGAATACTAGAATGTAAAGTTAAAAAAGAACAATACAATCTTTAATTCTAAAGTGACTGACCTCATTAATCACAGCTGGTAGAGTGAAAAGGTGTAGGTTCAAATTTTACCCAGAGAGAGAATGTTAGACGTTACCATTTTTATTAAGTTAAACAATAACATTTTCTTTCACATGTCAACAGACTTTCCAAAACAGTATCGTAATGTACAGATTAATTAATCTTAACAAATCTATATCATTTTATTACTCCTTTTATCAAATAAATTAGCACTGATATTGTAACCAGCATGTTTTTTGAAGGTTCATCATATATACATCTCAGCCAAGACCAACTATCAGGCAATCATATAGTAAATTTTTCATGGTTATTCCAGGTATTAAAGGCAAGGAACAAGTGTATAAATATTACTATAGCATTTGAGGTCTATTTATATTGAAATAATAAATTATTCTTGTTCCTGTCATTAACCTGAATCAATCACGTCACTTTTAATTGACTTAGACGTTTTACAGTTCTTCTGTATTATTATACAGATTCCTCTGGCTTGTCTGTTACTGGGAGGTAATAAAATCATTGCTGCAAGATGTTCATCACCTCAACAACATTCACACTCCTAACTGTGACTCCATATTCTAATCAACAGTCCAAATTCAAAGCCAACTTCTACACGAGATCTAAGAGTGAAACAATAACTAAGCAAACATTTGTTGACCTTTATATCTAACCTATTCATAAATTAAGAAACAAATAAACATGTCATTCATACTGAGAAATTCCAGACTAAAACTTCTTGAACCTTCTATTGTCTCAACGTAAAAGCACTGTTCTTTTACTTGTTTCAAGGTTCAATTGTTCAATCTTTAGTGTACTGTGTTCATTATGTGGTCACATACTCCATAACAAGTGTTATTATGTTTATTGTACTTCTTTGACACTATTGTATTTGGAACCTTTAGCTTGCATGAGATTCTGCTACTCAATAAATTTGACTTCAATAAGCATAGGCTAAATTATGTTACATCACAATGGAAAAATATGATTATTAAAATAAATTTCTAGATGTAAAGTAATTTTCTTTCATGTAGAATTAATGTGACATGAGCCCATGCACCATAATTACATAAAAACAGAAGCCAAATAAAAATTTATCATGTCCTTCCCTGGACTAATTACTTTGATACCTGTTACTTTGGACGTGGCATACTATTGGGAAAACCGTCAAATATGGTGACCATTCTTCCCCAACCTCACAATAAAGGTAGCTAAACAAGTTTACTTTACACATCATCAAATTCACTGTTCCTTCATACTTCGAAAGTCTCTCAAAAACTACCTTTTACTGCTGAGAACACTATACATAAGACAAAGCAAAGCAACTAAGTCGTTATGGATTCTGTATCATAGTAATTATTAAACCTAGCCCATAACCAAGCTCAAATGTCATTAAATGCAACGGGCATAGGGTAACGCATAGAGACTCCAATACAGATTAATTAACACATTAATATATATTTCTTACAACTATAGGTTATGTTACAACCTGCTCCATAGCTCGTTTGATATACGACTCCGGAAGATTAGAATACTGCTTCGTTAAATCGGCAACTTTATTACACAAAACAACTGATAATCGCATATTTAAGAATTATACAACACAAAAACAATCAAATGTTAAATAAAACTTCTCAAACAACTTCAGGTTCAGAACTTTCTTTCGAGATATCGAACTTGGGAAATTATCGAAATTCAAACGAACACAACCTGGTAAAAAGCATTGCCACCAGAGTGCGGTATTAACTCTCTTTGCTGCTGTTTCGTGCTTTGAGTTTATTTTTCATCCATTACCGGTGTTCCTGGTATTAAACTATATTTACTTTATTTACGGGCTGGGAACCATGAAGGTCTCTGACTGTAAGCAACAAGAAAGGTGAGTCATCTGTGCTGTATATCATCTATGATTCTGCGTAGCTTGACCCTCAATTCGTAACTAATCTGCCTACTCTACGAAGGTGACGTTTCGTTACGTCACTTTTTTTTTATATTATTGTTTTCAATATACTTCCTCGGGTTTATTGGATGTTTGGACTTTGTCCATCGTCCAAGGTTAAAATACATACGACGTTTCGAAAACCAGATCCCTTTTCGTCTTCAGTTTTATGGGGCAGAGCACCTCCGTTGGTTCCAGTGATTGAGACTTCCTCTTTCTGTGCGACCGAACGATGATCTGTCGGAACATTTTAATATCGGTGATTTCAGAAGGTAACTGGCTTCTGGGATGTTGCACCATGTAATCTGGTGGAAGTTTACCAATAATTGCACTGATGATGGAGGCAGCAAACACCTCTATAACATTGATAAACTTCCATCAGCTTACATAGCACAACTTCCCATCTTCATTGTCATCATCAGGAAAATCTCAAATCAACCAATATTCATTTCACTTCAACTATGCTCAGTGATTTTTATTCAAATTATATAAATCCATTAATATAGGAATTTTAAAACTATCACATAAAATGAACCATGTAATATACATTTTGCTACTGTCAGAAACTTATTCTCACACTTCAGATTTCACACAAGGCAATACAAATCTGACAAAACTTTCAGAAAATAGCAAAGAACAAATCACATTTCCATGATTTAAAATCTGCGGCATTCTGCTTTCAACCTTACACGATTATGATTTTCAAATAGAGTAAACACTTTTAATATAACAAAACAGTATAATCAAAATGTCTATTATAAAAGAGCTGTAATTCAGTGGTAATAGGAAATGTAGGGACAATATCCAGGTCCACTG